CACTAATCTATTGCTTCATTTTTATTTTTACATCAAATGATAGCGTGCTAAATTTCTGTGCAAAAGAGAACTTTCAATAATCAGGTATATTTTGAAGACATCTGTAACAATTACATGGCCATGATATACATCTAGAATAAGCAAACTCCAAAATAAAGCAGAACTTTATTCTAAGTGTGCTCAATTTGTCTGGTTTTGACTGCTATCAAAGCAGAGTATGTATTCATTGTAACAGTGTTTATTTTTTTTAAGGAAGTAGCTTTAAATAATTATCCAAGTTTAATTTAATTTGTATAGTAAATGCAATTAAGAAAAGGATACTGCCTGGAAAAAAAATGCATTTCTACATTCTTCACAAATCATTCTGTCTATTCCTAATAGGAGAATCTAGAATAATTGATTCTGAATTTAAAATACTAAAATCTGTATCAGTTTTAATTGTTGGTTCTTCCAGATAACTTTGGGCATCCTTTAAATTTTGTTGAAATTTTGTGGTGTAGACTATAGAGCAGAAAAACATTAGAAATGTTTCCTAAAACTTTCACTTTCTCTGATCACTTGACTTACGGAAAGATCCCAATGTAAACATTGAACCCTATGTTCTTTTTTAGTTACTTTTTTGGTCCATTTCCCTTCTCTTCTTACTTCTATAGATTAAACATTCTCAAAATAATATGAATAAACGTATCATCCAAAACAAAGAATACTTAAGTGACAGTCACAAATATGTAGTTTCCTGATTTTTGTGTACTTTATCCTGCTGTTGATGGATATTTATTACACTTTATGACAGACTGTTATAAAGGTCATTTCACATGCGTCAGAAACATTTAATTCTGGGAAATAATTAGAAAAATATTCAGATTAAGTCAAGGTACCCTTTGAAGAATGCGAACAAAATGAAGGTGTTGTAAGAGATTTTCAGTAACCCAGTATAGTTATGCCAAAATTGTATTTGTAACAGATTGGATTGATGTGTGTATATTTGACTAAATTGGCTTTTAAGAATCATCTTAAATAACTAAAATAAAAGCAGTAGCTTTTTATTTTTATATATTAGCTATATTTTTAAAACTGTTAAAGGGGCACCTGGGTGACTCAGTCAGATAAGCATCTGCCTTCGGCTCAGGTCCTGATCTCATGGTTTGTGGGTTTGAGCCCCACATTGGGTTCTGTGCTGACAGCTCAGAGTCTGGAGCCTGCTTCAGATTCTGTGTTTCACTCTCTCTCTCTCTGCCCCTCCCCTGCTCATGCTCTGTCTCTCTCTCTCTCTCTGGAAAATAAACACTAAGAAAAATTTAAAAATAAGTAAATAAAAATGTGTTCATGACCCAAAGGACTTTCATTTGAAAGATGATTAATTACATTTATGACAAATTTAAAGACATATAACACCTCCCTTTTCTTTGAAGCTGGATCTAAATATGCGTACAATATATGTATACACATATAATAACTTACACATGTAAGTTATTATAACACTAATTGTAATAACATTGCAATAATCCCTTTGCTGAGTGTCTATTATATCCTACACACTATGCGTGGCATGCTTATGCTTGCTCATTTCATCTCATATCAGTATTTTGATATAGGTATAATTAGTTCTACATTACAGTGGAGGAAATGAAGCCTCAGAATTTAGGTAACTAGCCTAAGAACACATCGCTGTTGAGTCACAGTGCTATGGAAATTGGGAACTTTATTTCTAGTGACTATTTAGCAATGGTACCTCATCACATCTGTTACCTCTAGTTGTAACATGAGTAAAAGTAAGACTCTCAGCCTATGCTCAGAGATCAAGGAACAGAAATTTTCAGAATGTACACACTTACATGACATTAAATTCTTTACTAATTTCTGTTTTGGTAGCACACTTTTTAATTACATGGGGTTTGTGAGGCAGTTAGGAATAAGGCAAATGAGCACAAAAGAGGGTTCTGAAGATACATGGTATAAAATATGATTCTGCTTCTATTGTCTTTCCTAATTTCCATTAGGATCCACAAAAAAAGTGTCTTTAATAAAAACACAATGCTAAAGAATACAGTGCTATGCCACATCACTGGATGGGCAGCTACCACTCTCATAGAGTGGGAAGAAGAACCACTCAAGCACACCCTCTAATAAGGTGTCAGTGCTGAGGACTGCTAGGAAACCTCCACTGGAAAGCAGCCTCCTGTGATGTTGCATCCGTAATGGGGCAGCGAATGGACTGAGTAGACCTAGAGGCTGATGACAAACTGCTTGTGTCTGTAAACAACACTCATGCATTGATGTGTGTTCAGTGTAATATTTCTACTTACATGAACGTGCCTGGCAGACACACACACACGCAGACACACACACACACACACACACACACACACACACACACACATCCCTTTAGCACACATTGACTAACTGCCTCCCTAGTAGCATGTCCATTCAGTGTAAAGAGCTGCTTTAATTGGTGTGATATTTGCATGTTAGGTATTCCCTTAATGTGTATTTAAAATTAAAAAGAAAAATCCTTAAGATTCTGCTTAGCAGAGTGTGTCTGGTTTGTCTTCTCTAAAGTCCCACCATGACACTTTCCGGCAGTTAACATTTGACATTATTCCCATGGAGTTCAATTTATGGCCCTCCTCCAGTTCTGCAGAATCATAAGGCCTATGCCATCCATATCCATTTATGGGATCATTTTACCTATAATTATGTAGACTGAGAAATGTCAACCCTGGAACCTGAGAAGTATTGACAGGACCAAAGTTTGTAGCCCTGTTGGTCATCATTCTTAGGTATCTGAAGTTTGAGAACAGAAGTTGGCACTAGAACTTTTTTAAACAAATGGTCAGAAGGCAGACTGTAAAGGAAACAGATTTTTGCTTGTAAACTCGTTATTTACAACTTGTGTCTTGGAAGTAGGAGACTGACCTGACCTTGAATCTGGGTTAACTTAGGACACAGTCTAACAGCTATTAGAAACAAAGACTATAGTCATAGAAGCTTCAGCTTCCCTTCCAACAGAGTGCAATCTTAACTGCCAAAGTCCTACCTATTGAGTGAAAGAGCTAGTCAAGTCTGAACTGAAATAGACTTAATTCCACATTCCAGTCAGGTCAAGTTTAAGAGTTAGTGAAGGCTAAGTTAGGTCTGCAAATGTGCTTGATTTCTTTCTGAGAACAAAACTAAGAAGGTTACTCTCTCCTCTGAATACTTCAGAAATAAGCACCTTTTATATGTTGGCAGGCTAAGCCAGATGGAAGGATTTTAGGCTATGGAGTTTTCATAGTTAGGTGGCCACCCTAGTAGTAAAGGCAGCCCAAACATCAGTTATTTTAGCTAGGCCAGGTTGGGACAGATCAGTAAAGAAGTTCTAGATAATGTTTATCAAAAGCTGGTATAAAGCCAAGGACAAAGGCTGCAAGGGGACACAGAGAGGAGATAATGGAACTGCCGTTAAGTGTTCAGGAAGGATAGTTTTGGCTTAACCTGTTGGTTGTCTGGGGAAATACAGAGGAAGGGTGCTATTACCCCACTTAGTACCTCTCTGCTATATTTACTCTCTTGGAGTTTCTCTTTTTATCTTCCCACTGCCAAAGCCCACCACATGCCACCTCTAGGTCACAGCAGCTTTAATCCTGTATTGTAGAATGTTGGGGCAAGTTGAGAGAGAAGAAAAAGAAAAACTGATTGGATGGGGACAACCAGAAATTTTGTGGGTTCCATCCCTTTTCAAACTACCACATCCCTGTGTGATTGTATATACACACACAAACACACATGGCCCTCTTTCATTACATTTTTTAAAAAGATAAACACAGATTAGAATAAAAAAAGTGAAATGTCAAAGAGACATACTAGATATCACTGCCTTTATGGAGTCATCCTTAAACATACCCTCTCCCCCCAACCCCCATCCTTCCCTCCAGAGCAGAGAAGCCCCTAACTGTGTGCCCATAGTGCCTTGGTGATATCTCTCGTTGTGCTTATCACATTGTATTTTATTGTTTGCCTATATAGTTATCTCCTCACCCAGACTGTGAACTACTTACAGCTAGAATGTCTGTGTTATTTACTGTATGCCTGTGGGTGAGATGAATAAAATGCTGTGATTTCCAGTGTCCAGTGATTTCATAGTAAAGGATGGACTGTAGGAAGTATGTGATTATTCCACTAAAAACTCATGGTAAAATAATTTATGACTCATGCTTTATTATATTTTATGTGTTTAAGCTCATAATGATAAGCCTCCTTATAATGATACAAGTAGTTAGTGGCTAGGGATAAAGGTAAATAGTTTCCAGGCACAGCCACGTTACTAAAATGTCACAGCCAAGTGGGAATCTATGGACAAGTGAATTGGTCACAATCTGGAAGTGATCTAGTAAGAAAAATTACATTGGGTAAACTAAACTCATTCAGTTACTTTGTATCTAAAATGCTGAATCATGCTGCTACATTTGGTTCTGGTATCCATCAAGCCAAAGTAATCAATATTAACACAATCAGAATCCCCATTTATTCTATATGTCATCATTTCTCAAGAAATCAAGATCATTTTTCAGAAAGTTAATTCACTATAACCCAACATGGATTGACATGTTCAGATTGGGGTCAGTGTATGACTATTTTTACAGGGAAAAATTCTAGATCCAAAAATGCCTCATTAGTTCAGATAATATGAAATATAGTGAAACTTTAGCACACTAAAAAAATGTGGATCGTCTTTTACTATTGTAGTAGAATTCAAGCCAAACCCCAAACCTACCTAAATTACATTTTAATCACGCTACTTTTTTCCAACCTTACAAAACCAAATAATAACTATCCAGGAAATGTATCTGTTAATTGTTATGTAGTTAACCTTACCCCTTCCCAAAGAAATTATGTATTTTTTAGTGTCATGTACTTAAAACTAGTGGTCAGCTTATTTCGGTTTTCAAAATACATTTTGGTTTAGAATTGTATATACTTCTCAATATGAGAGTAACACCTCATTTTATCCTCCATTACAGAAGACAATAGATGTACATCCTCGAATGCAGCTTCCTGCACCAAGTGCCTTGCTCTGGGTCCGGAATGTGGATGGTGTGCTCAAGAGGTGTGCCTTTTTCTTTCTTATTTTCTTTCTTCCTTTCTCTTCTCTTCTCTTTTCTCTTCTTTTCTCTTTCCCTGTTCTTCACAGTTGACTTCTCTAGGCATGATTTTGTTGCCCTAATATTTTGTGCTTTGAAGGTGCATCAGGAAAAAGAAAGACAATGCTGAGCATCAGGAAAATTTTATTTGGTTATATGCTTAGAAACAGCATATCTGGCTAACTGTAAAATAAAGTATAACCTTTTCATTAGGAAAATTATGGTAATTTTGAAATGAAGTGCAAGCCATTTTATGTTTTCCATCTGTCCTATAGAGAGAATTGGCAAACACAGATAGTGACTTTTGATAGGTCAGTAGGTTTTGTGTGAAATTCTTGCTACAGCTTGGGGCATTAGGTTATATATCCTAGTTGGATTGTAGTCTTGTACTTGCTTATTAAAGAAAAGCAAGTTAGTTTATAGGGCTGTTTCATTTGTTTTTATTTGAAATACTTAAAGATAAGTTATTTACTCCATTTCATAACATTGTATATCAATTCATTAGTTACTTATGAAAAATGGGATGCTTTTCCTTTGACATGTGACCCTATTCGTGTGATACTGTGTACATTTAAATTCTGTGGAATGGAGAATAAATCAGAAATCTTTTATTGTTCAAAATTAGTGTTTTTATATTCTAACAAGAGAAACGTACCCCAATAACAAACTTCTTAGTAAAACAAATATAATGCATTCCTTCTTTCCTGGCTGTGAAGTTGTTTTGTGAATTTTTTCTTTTGTTGATATTCTTCCATCAGAACTACTTTACATAATAAGTTGCAATGAAAAAGCCATCTATAATCTGGGGTTCTTTTGTGAAATTACAGAGATAACTTTACATTTGTTTATGTAGCTCTTGGGAATTGGAACAAGGAGATATTTAATGACCTTTTGCTTGCTATGAAGATCTCTAGCTTTTGCCTTCTCTGATTTTGCTCAAAAACTGCACCTACCATCATCTTTCCAACCTCTCCTGTTACTACTTGCCTATAACTTATGCATCTCCCAGAAGGAAAAAGAAAGCTAAAAAGTAGCAAAGGATGGTGGACATTACTTTCTTCTAAAGCAAGTCAGTAAAGAGACAGAGGAGGGGTTCACAAAGTAGTCTTAGCCATGTCTGAAAGTGTCTCCTACTGACAACCCAAAGGCTTCTTGGATATACTCTAGCCTTTACCAGTGAGGAAATCAGATGTCACTCAAAACTAGGCAGTGCTTCACCAGAACCCATGGAAAGAGGCAATGTCAGAGAGAGGACAATTCCAGAATTTCTATGACAAGTCCCATCACCTTCTATGAGCCAAATGACCAGACAGAACTCACTCTATTCTCTGAGCCTTCCTTTCCTCATTTCTATAACCCTGAGTTTGGAATTTACTTCTAGGTTTTTCTGTCAAGAGTGTTTCATGGCTTTATATTTCCTGACCCTAGGCCAATACTCCATTTTAGATTTTCACTAAGGAAGCCATGAAGTTTGTGTCAACTTGATGTCAGCTGCTCAGAACTTTATTAAGTGTAGCTTAGAGGAACTCTCAAAAGATGATTAAGAAACCCAGCTCTCAGCCAAATGTAACATGCCAGCCATATAAAATTCCAAGTTCCAGAGAGACCCCTTTATCTGATATCGCCGCTGGCACAGAAAATCTGGAGAGGCTCAGTTATGGGAATAGCAAATGTCAGTCCTGCCACAAAAGGAAAGATTTTGAGTATTCAGAGAAATTGGTGGCCAAATGGCAAGAGGTAATCCAAGGAGAAATGTGAGGTGGCTGCCAGAGCACAGGAGGCAAACCCATGTCTGCTGTTGATCAAATGTTTCAGAAGAGGATCTCAGAAAACATTTGGAAATCACTTGGCTGTTTGTGTTCCAGAATATCCTTCTGTGTAGTACAGGGCCATCTAATTCATGTGTTGAAAATGCAGGCTCTGAAATGAGGTCAACTTGGGTTCAAATCCCAGGACCATCAGTTTCTAACCATATAAACTTGCATACATTACTCTAACTACTCTGAACCTCAGTTTTCCTTAGCTCTAAAATGGAAATAAAAATTGTACCTATGACATACTGTTGTGAGGATTAAATGAAACCGTATGTGACAAGCATTTGACACACGCATTGCTTAAGAAATGGAGTTGTTACTAAAAGAACTTGAGTGAGACTCCAAAGCAACTCATTCAGGTTTAGGAAACCAAGAGGACTGTGTTAAGAACACAACGTAGGGGGAAGCAACCAGTGTTAGGACTCAGCTACTAGCACATCATTAACAGAAGGAGCTGTCCACTCCCTGCAGGCTGACCTGACATCCTTGAGAAGAAGAATACAATGATTAATTTTGAAAGATTACCCACCATTAGACACATATGCAACTGATGTCTTTTATTTCTTAACCAATGAGAGTGGAGGTATGGGGAAAGAATAGGCTTTTGTTTTGTTTAGTTTTTTTTCTGTGTTCATGATCAGAATAGTTAAAACTAACAAATTAAGCTTGGTTTGTATAATTTTCAAGGCTGGTCAAAAGTAAAAGATCACTAGAAAATTTGGACAGGGTATATTCAATTTGCCTACGTTCTTGTATAGCATGTTAACCTGATGTTCTAGATGTTTTGCCTGCTCTTTCTCTCCATGTTACATAAAAATAATTGTAAAATAATTAGGATGAAAAAGACCTTATCAGTATTGCCTAGTTTAACGCATCAAGCTCCTTTTTAACATATGTAAAAGACTTGATGAGTTTTGAAGAATTCTCTTCTTCTCCTGCATGCTATGTCATACACAGATTGTGATCACATAGTCAGAAGTTCAGAGGGCAGCCTTCGAACGTAATTATACTAAAATACAACACAAAGGTATTCACCGTCAAAAGGAACATGATAGAGTTCTTTCATTTCCGTGCAGATTGCCATGTTTGGAAATCAGAAAGACTCAGAAATAAGAAGAAAAAGGTTTTCTTATTTTTTCCACAAATAATTATATTGAATGGATAAAAGTAACAAATGATGAAAAGCTACCTGAGGTGACTTCAAACCTGGGCTTTTCATTTACAAATGGGATTTAGATGCAGAAGGAGTATGGTTTTGCTTGTGTATTTCGTGTAGAAAAAATAAAACACAAGCATTAGAAGAAATTAAAATGACACAAAACACCACAAATTAAAAGGGTGTGGTTTCAAATTCTTTTCTTTTATACAAAGTGGAAAGTAGGCCGCAGTGGGCAGGGGCAGCATTCCATTCTTTATTTTGATGTCACGGTCTTTTCTTCCCTTCTCAAACCTAATTGTCAAATTGGCAGTGCTTTTCTAACTCAGTTTTTACAGCAGAGTAAAAACAGCCATGCTGATTCAGACATTGCAAAATAATTGAGACTATTTTGCCTATTTCAGCAAAATGATTTGACATTTAAAGGTCAAATGGCATAGCGTGATGTATAGTTGCAGTGAATTAACTGTACTCCCTTCTTTTCCATTTCTGTGTACACAAATAACAGAATCCCTAGATGAAAAGAAAAATCAGAATTACTTGTATTTTATTTCTTTTCTTGATTTGAAGTCTTGGTGTTTTTCCATCTATTAAATGCATGTAGCCCTTTGTCTGTGGCCTGTCATGAACATAGAGGTACCAAGTCTTAAGTACCCTCAATATTGCTCAAACTCTAGGACAGGAAGGATCCTCTCATCTATCTTGGAGCTTTCTGAAGGAACGTGATACATATGATAGCAATATATGCCATCGTTCTTTGAGCTAAATCTTATATTGAGTACCTCTAAGTTTTATCAATGGACAGAATAAATTTGGATACAAGAAATTAAGGCTTTGGAGATTTTTAAACATCATGATAAAAATCTGGGTGTATGGTCAATAGCAAAGCAAATTGAATTTTTCTATTCCCATGAAGTCATTTACCAAATGACAGCTGGAAATCTTGATTGAAAAGAATATATCCTCTTAATATATCCTCTTAATATCTCTTAATATATTTATATTACAAGGTGCTTCACACTCTAATTCAGGATCAGTACTGTAAATATCAGTACAGTAAATATTTTTTAAGTTTTATGGGCCACATACTGTTTCTCTTGTATGTTCTTTTTTTTTTTTTTAATTTTTTTTTTCAACGTTTATTTATTTTTGGGACAGAGAGAGACAGAGCATGAATGGGGGAGGGGTAGAGAGAGGGAGACATAGAATCGGAAACAGGCTCCAGGCTCTGAGCTATCAGCCCAGAGCCTGACGCGGGGCTCGAACTCACAGACCGCGAGATCGTGACCTGGCTGAAGCCGGACGCTTAACCGACTGCGCCACCCAGGCGCCCCTTGTATGTTCTTTTTTAATCACTTAACAGCATTTTTAAAAGGTAGAATGCATTTTTTTTAGCACTCAAGCAATACAAAAACAGGGCATGGATTATTGTATTTGTACCACCAGGCCTAGTTTTTGAACCCCTGTTCTAAATTAAGAAAGGAATTAAAATCTTTGTGTGAATGTTTTTATATTGCCTACGACCATCCCATCTATACCAGTGACACAGATGTTACTATTCATAATTAGTGATCTAATATTCAACTAATATTGAACTTGATAATTTCCTTCTTCCATAACCCTTTGAAATTCTATGCTTCCCCTAAATCTAATGCCTATAATAATTACATTTACTTGTTTAATGGCTGGATTCACCAATGGCCTATTGACTCTTTGACAAGGTCTCTGTCTTGTTCCATTCTGTATCCTCAGCACCTAAAAACTACTGACCCTGTGTAAGTATTCAATCTGTATTCTTTGATTGAATGATTAATTGGAAACCCAATTCCCTGGATCAGCTGAACTAAAGGAGGAATGACTGAATGTCAGATCATAATAGCCACTGCCAGTAAAATCACTGAGCAAATAATCTAGCTACTGTGTAAGCAAATGTTCCAAATAATTCAGGCCAACATTATATATAATAAAATATATTTCTATACTTTTTAATACATTTCCTGTTCTTAGGGGAAAACATGAATGGTTACATGAAAAATAAAAATATCAATTTTTTTTCTCAGGATATGTTAAATTTTAAGCTTGTTCCACTAATTCCAAGTTTCTTGAATGGCTATTGAATAAAGATCAACTAACCAATGCTGAATGGTAATAAAAGTTCTAGATTCACTTGCAAATCCAGTATAATTTTAGCTCCAATTTTCTATCTTCCAGCCTCATTATGAACATCTTTCTTGGTTTATTAAATTATTTATAGGCTATTGTGTGTCTAAGATGGGGGATTTCGTGGTCTAAGAAATATACATCTCCAGTTCATCCTTTTGTGAATTTTCAGTACCTTACATTGGGCATGTGACTCCTGAGGACCCTCTCTCATATTCCAAACATAAAAATTTATAATGCATACACCAATTGGGTTATTTGAGAACTGAGACTTACATTTGGAATGAATGAATGGTCTATTTTGGATAAATTTTCTTTTGAAGTAGTCTTTCCAATGTAAAATATTTAGAAAGAATTAAGTTGGAATGATTTTACAGTGATCAGTTAACAATATTTAAAGTACTTGGTTTAAATCTCCTCTTTAATTTTCTTCTTTTTAGATAAGATTTAGGAATTAAAGCTTTATTTAAGACAAATTTTTTTAGTATTCTTTTTGGAAACAAGCAGATATTTTGAATAGTTGCATAAGTTTTGTGACATTGGAAGATGGCTTCTTTACAATATTTGCTGTGTGGTTTTCTTTGGTTATAATTGAGATGGTATGCACTAAAAACATCAGTGATTTTCCTTCTTTTAAACAGGATTTCATTTCAGGTGGATCAAGAAGTGAACGTTGTGATATTATTTCCAATTTAATAAGCAAAGGCTGCTCAATTGATTCGATAGAATACCCATCGGTGCATGTAATAGCAAGTGAAAATGAAATGAATACACAGGTGACACCAGGAGAAGTGTTGATCCAGCTGCGTCCAGGTTTGGTGATTTTCAAATAAATCTTGATGATTCAGACTTTAAATTACATTTAGCTTTATTTACTTATATTTAATATTTTGTGAAAGGCAATATTATTGTAGTAGAAATAACAGCGGGCTCAGAATAAAGAAATCAGAATTCTGATCTTTTTTTTTGTGCCTACAGCTAGCTAGCTGTGTGGCCTCGGACACTCTGCAAACCTGACCACATTATATTATAATTATGTGTTTCCAGACTTGATCACATTGTAGTGTAATTGTGTTCCGATTCCATTGCCAGCTCTTGAAGAAAGAGAACATGTTTTATTCCCCTTTTTCTCCAAAGCCTCACAGAGTGCTGGCTTTTAGTAAGCACTCTGTAAGTATATGTTGACTTGATTAGTTGATTAATTAATTAGTAAGAGATGTAAATTAAGCTAAGTCCTTAGAGCCTTTGCGATAAACTTTTAAACACAAAACTACAATTCATAATTATCATAATTGAGCTGCTTTGTTATGGCTCCTGAGAGTAACACATAGTTCTCCTCCTATACCTCTCTTATACTTCATTTCATCACATTGTATTACACAGTTTGGCACATGTAGTAGGCCACTGGAAATTATTCATTTTCTTCCACTGCTAGAAAATCCCAGTGTACAAGCTACATATGACAAGATAATTTCAGGTACATAGGTATGCATCAGTCAATTAGATGCATTTAGATTTAAGCAGTATGCAATTGCCTTTAAGTCTTCATTATTTCATTCTGGGTGGTCTTGTCCTGGCATTAAATTTTTAAATAACCATTATTGACACATGACCTCCCTTTTCCAAAGCTGAGCTATTTCTCCAGATTCTTCAATTACCAGAAAAACAAAGTCTATTTCTTTCTTGGCGTCAGGCATATTCCCAGCTTCCAATTAAAACCATGCTCTTCACCATATAAAACAATTATACAGCCCAGTATGGACATATACAAGCAACAGCTGGAAAGGGATACACAAAAATGAAGGTAATTAGGTTGGTAAGATTATGCCATTCACCATCTTCTATTGCTACCATAACAAAATCGTGTACACTAGGGGACTTAAACGACAGAAATTTATTTTCTCACAGTCCTGGAAGTTAGAAAGTACAAGATCAAGGTACTGGCTGATTTCGTTCCTGGGGAAGGAGAAAAAGAGACACACAGAGAGAAGAAGATGGAGATGGAGGTCTCTGGTGTCTCTTCCCATAAGGGCACTAATCTCATTACGAGGGCCCCACCCTCATTACCTCATCTAAACCTAATTATCTCCAAAGGCTCCATCTCCAAACAACATCACATTATGGTTTAGGGATTCAACATGTAAATTTGGAGGGAACACAATTTGGTCCATAGCTCTTGATATATAAAATAACATTTTCAAAGGCCATGGAGTAATTTTAGATATTAGTCATATTTTAGACAAGAATATTTAATTCCAAAAAGCAAAAAAATATTTTTATAGGTCAATATGTGTGTACATTGTGCTATAATATTTGAAGTCAGTATAAGAGAATAAACAAATATTAAATAACAAAGAAAAGTTTCTCCTAAATAAAGTCTGTCTCCAAGAATAAATCAAAACTCTAGTCATAGACCATTTAATAATAACAATAACAACAACTGACATCAAAATACATGGGATGTCGGGCACCTAGGTGGCTCAGTCGGTTAAGCATCCAACTTCGGCTCAGGTCATGATCTCACAGTTTGTGAGTTTGAGCCCCACGTCGGGCTCTATGCTGTAAGCTCAGAGCCTGGAGCCTGCTTCCAATTCTGTGTCTCCTTCTCTCTCTGCCCCTCCCCGACTTGTGCTCTGTCTCTCTCTGTCTCTCAAATATAAATGTAAAAAAAAAAGTTAAAAAAAATACATGGGATGTGAATGAAGTTGCTCCCAGAAAAATTAAGATCTTTAAATACTTTTATTATTAAAGAAGAATGAACAAAAATTAACTAAGCATCCAAATTAAGATATAGGAGTAAAAAAAAGGCCATAAGGAAAACAAGGGAAGGAATTAATAAGTTAAGACAAAAAATTAACAAAATGAAAAAGAGAAATAAAAAAGGAAAATGAATGTATAAATCCAAGAGCTAGTTCTTTTTAAAGTCCAATAAATAGACAAATTGCTGGCATAGCTAATTAAGAAAAGAAGAAAAGAAGTAAATAACCCAGTTATATAGATTATAGCCAGAGAAACAAATATTAAGGGAAAAAAGCCATTAAGAAAAAATTAATCACAAAAATCTATGGTAAAATGTGTAAATCTTAATAATATAGGTAATTTTAAGGAACATATGCATGACTAATATTGACTCAAGAAGAGAGCGAGCCCTAAGAAAGCTAATAAAGATCAAAGAAATTAATAACATTATAAAATTATAAAATACTCACATTAGGTCTAAATGTTTTCTTCAGAATAAATGATTTAATGTTCACCCAAACATTAGGAAATGCATTATACCTGTACTACATTAACTCTTCCATTAGTTTTAGAAAAGCCCTAGAAGCTACTCAGTTTGTACAAGGTTAGCATAACCCTAGTATTAAACCCTTAACATATTAGGAAATCACATTAAACCATATGTGATAAGAAAAACAATGCCAAAAGGAAAAAATATATGTTTGTTATCTCAACAGATGCTGAAAAATTATACAATAAAATTTAGTGTCTATTCTGCCAAAATAAAAATTTAAGAATAGTTCCTTAATATATATTAAAATCCTTCTGGAAGTTTTATGTAAAAGCAGTGAGACAAGAAAACCAAATATGAGTTATAAATATTTTTAGAAGATAAAGCAAGATTATCATCATATGTCTATCTCATAAATCCAAGCAAATCAACCAAAAATAATTTTTAAAATAGAAAACAAAAAATAGGGGCACCTAGCTGGCTCAGTCCACAAAGCATTCAACTCTTGATCAGGGCCATGAGTTTGAGCTCCACCTTGGACCTAGAGTTTACTTAAAAAAAAAAATGAATAAAAAAAAAAATACCTCAGCCTTTGTTATATAAATAAGGTATGCATATTAAAATAAATATATAAATATGCACATAAATAAATAAATTAATTAATTAATTAAATGGCAGGTTTTTTAAAATATTCAAATCAATGGATTTCTTACATAATATTAAATATAATTTAAAAAGGGATAAATTCCTAGCAGCAATCTAAAACTCAAACTGTCTAGGGATAAACTTTAAAAAGAAAATGTATAAGATCCACTGTGCTACCTAGAAGATATGAATACATGCAGAAGAATTTTATGTTGCTGATTAGGAAGACAATATTATGGCAGAAAGAGTTAAGATGCCAGAGTAGTAAGGGGATCCTGGGCTTCTCTCTTCTCTTGAACACAGCTAGGTCAACATCAAACCATTTTGGATACCTAGGAAATTGATCTGAGGATTAACAGAACAATCTTCATAATTTGAGAGAAAGAACGTGGCAGCTTCTCTTAACAAGCAAACCAAAACACACCTAGGATCTAGGACCTAAAGAATTATTTTTGATTTTTCAATTTTTATTTCATTCTATTATTACTGTTGTTTCTTCCTCCAAAATGACAAGATGGAGGAATTCCCCTGAAAAGAAAGAACAGGAAGAAATTATGACCAGAGATTTAATCAATGCAGATGTAAGTAAGGTGTCGGAACCAGAATTTAAAACAATGATTTTAAGGATAGTAGCTGGGGTTGAAAAAAGCATAGAAGACACCAGAAAGTCACTTCCTGCAGAGATAAAAGAACTAAAATCTAGTCAGGACAACATTAAAAATACTATAACCAAGATGCAAACCCAAATGGAGGCCATAAAAATGAGGATGGATAAGGCAGAGGAGTGAAAGAACAATACAGAAGATAAAATTATGCAAAATAATGAAGCTGAAACAAGAGGGAAGCAAAGATCAGGGATCATGAAGACAGACTTAGGAAACTCAGTGATTTATTAAAATGTAATAACATTTGTATCACAGGAATCCCAGAAGACAAAAAGAGAGAAAAAGGGGCAAAAGTTTATGTGAGTAAATTATTGCTGAAAACTTCTGTAATTTGGGGAGGGTGACAGACATCAAAATTCAAGAAGCACAGAGAACTCTCATTAAATGCAACAAAAGCTCATTATCTCTAATACATATCATAGTCAAATTCACAAAATACACAGACAAGGAAAGAATCCTGAAAGCAGCAAGGGAAAAAAAAAAAAGCCCTTAACCTACAGGGGAAGACAGATCAGGTTTGCAACAGATCTGTCCACAGAAACATGGCAGGCCAGAAAGGAGTTGCAAAAGATATTCAGTGTGCAGAATGTGAAAAAATATGCAGCCAAGAACACTCTACCCAGCAAGGCCATCATTCAGAAAAGAAGGAGAAATAAAAAGGTCCCAGACAAACAAAAACTAAAAGAGTTTGTGACCACTAAACCAGAACTACGATAAATTTTAAGGGGAACTCTGAGTGGAGGAAAAAAAAAAAGCAACAAAGACTAGAAAGGACCATAGAGCATCACCAGAAATATCAATCCATAGGTAACACAATGGTACTAAATTCATATATTTCAATACTTACTCTGAATGAAAATGGATTAAATGCTCCAATCAAAAGACATAGGGTATCAGAATAGTTAAAAAAAGAAGATCTGTCTATATGCTGCCTGTAAGAGACTCATTTTAGACCTAAAGACACCTGCAGATTCAAAGTGAGGGGATAGAGAACCGTCTGTTATGCTAATGGACATCAATAGAAAGCTGGAGTAGCCATACTTATATCAGACAAACTAGATTTTAAAACAAAAGACTGTAACAAGAGATGAAGAAAGGCATTATATTGTAATTCACCGTCTATCCATCAAGAAGATCTAACAGTTGTAAATATTTATGCCCCCAACTTGAAGGAAACCAAATATATAAATCAATTAATAACAAACATAAACACACTGATAATAATCCAATAATAGTGTGGGACTTTAACACCCCACTCACAGCAACGGATAGAT